CCCCCCCCGCCAGCACACGAGCCCCTGGCAGCAGAGTGGAGGCTGCTGGGGTGTAAGCTTTGCTCTTCCTAATGGCACCTATAAATAGCTCTGGCCTCCTGTTCCCAGCACACGCTCACTCTTTGCAGCCCGTTTTGGGCAGCAAAAGCCTCTCCCCCCTTCCCACGCATCCTCCCCAGCCCAGCTTGCGCTTCCGGGGGCCCACCGGGACGTACGCACCCTCGGGGTTCAGGCTGGACACCAGGGGCTCCGGCAAGGTCCTGGGATGGCCGAGGAGCTGCTTGGTGCTGGCCCGGGGAGGTGAGTCGGTGTTGGGAGGAAAACCTACGGGATGCAGAAAAACGCCTGGCTCAGGCAGGGCTCGCACCTCCAGTGCTCGCTCGCCAGGCACGGCCGCTGCAGTGCCGTGGGGCAGCCACATCATCCTCTCCAGGTGCTCTGGAGGAGAAATGACTGGGTCCCTGTTTTCCGCCGTCCCCTTCCACGAGGGCCCCCTACCACCTCCTCTCATCCCTGTGAGGGTGCAAACGTGGCCCTGGGCACCACACTCGCCCTTCCCTCACCAAACACAAAGAGGTCAGCAGCAGCCGGAGCCCATCCCCACCAGCCCACAGCCCCCGGGGGCTGATGCTGGCCTTCGGCCGCCTGCTTTCTGCCACCGTGGTGGCATGCAGCAATGCTGCGAAGGAAAGCTCCCTGAGGCCGCCCCAGCCCCAAAAGCAGCAACGCAGGATCCGACCCCTGAGCATGGCTACAAGCAGCCACAAGGCTTCAATGGGGAGGAGGAAGGAGCCCCGGGCTGGCAAACCTCAGAGACCCCCCGGGGTGGTGAGCGACTGCCATGCCAGCACCAAAACCCTGTCCCTGCTGCCTAACCTCAGTGCCCAGGGCAGAACCGGCCAGCTTTGGGGCTGACCCCCTTGGAGGGGGAGGCAGGGAGCGGGCAGGGGTCCCACGGAGCAGCCCCCGCGGCCGAGCCGGCGGCAGAGTGCTGACCTCCGTTTCTCCGGCAGGCTGGCAGCTCGCGCGGGCTCGGCTCCGGCTGGGCATCCTCCTCGGACCTGGCCTGCAGGATGGTCATGGTGGCCCCCGTCTGCTGAATAAACTGCTGCAAATTACACTGCCTCAGCTCCTTATTTAACTCTTCCAGCTCTTGGGTCTGGGCCTGCAAAACACACACCAAGGGGGGGGACAGGGTGAGCCGCATGTCCCCCCCATGCCCCAAAACTGGCTGGCATATGCCCCCTGGGGCTGCTCCCCCATCTGGGGCTCACCCTGCCAGAGCCAGCAGAGGGGACCTAGGGAGTACTGCGGCTTGGCCGCCCCTCTCCGAGGCCCTGTGGGAAGGGGGGTGCCCGGGTGGCAGGGATGAGGAAGGCGTTGTTTTGGGAACAGCCCTGCTTTGCTGTGTCTCCACAAGAGGGTGCGAGCAGCCGTCAAACGGCAGCCGCCACGGTGCTGGGAGATGCCGGACACAAACAAGATGCTCAAGACGAGATGCTGGAAGCATGGCCACCCTGGGGAAGGGCAGCTACCACCACCTGGCTGTGCAAAAGCTTCTCCCTTTTGCTCCACTGAAGGGGACCCGGTGGACAGAGGGCAGGCATCACGCAGCACCTGGACCCCCTGATTCTGGGGGTCTGGGAGAGGCGAGCCGGGGGGCATCATGGCTCAGCCCCACGGCTGCCATCTCCACACTGCACAGCCCCCCACGATGAGCCTGAGCCCCTGCACAGCTTGCATGGTCAAAAGGCTTCATGCACAGGCACCATGCGGACCTATGCTATCCCTCTCTGTGACTCCTTTATCCAAGATGACATCGACCCTTGTGCCAAGGCCACTGACCCCGCACACAGACCATTTGCTCTGGCACCATCGTCTGTGCTGGAGCAGGGTGATGCTGTGCTCCCTGTGCACCAGCCAGCAGGAGCCCCAGCCCAAACGCAGCTTGCATGGAGAGCGATGGGTGTGGGACCCTGCGCCAGCCGGGTAAGAGCGGTGGTGCCCCCCCAGCAGTGGTCACTGCTGCTGAGCCATCTCTGTGCACCCAGCCCCATGCTCACCAGCCAGGTGGGGCAGGACCAACCCCACTCAACCCATCAGCCCCATGCCGCTCGAAAGCTGGTCCCATCCCCTCCCGAAGGTCCCACCTCATGGGGCTGCTCAACCTGGTCCTATCTACCTGCAGGTTCCTTTCAGCTTCCTCCAGGGCCTTCTCCACGCTGGCCAGGTTGCTCTCCAGCTGGGTGCCTTGCTTGACCTTGGCCTCCAGGTCCCTTTTCATCTTGGTGGCCATGTCCTCCAGCTCTGTGGGGCTGGGTGCAGGGGTCTCCTTCCCCCTCTTGGCCCTCTCTGCCATCTCCCACTGGATCTCCTCCTGCAGGGCTTCGGTCCGGGTGCTCAGCTCGTAGATCCTCTGGGTATACTCCTCCAGGCTGGCCCGCAGGCTTCTAACTCGCTCCTGCCGCTCCCGCTCACACTCCTTCTCCAGCCGGAGCTCACTCTGCCAAAACTCCTCCTCACCCAGCTCCGTCTCATTCCTCCGCACCAGGTGCTCCAGGTAGAGGATCTCATCCTCCTGGCTGGTGAGCCGGCCATGCTCCCAGAGCCGTAGGTCTGTCTCCAGGGTGTCCCCATGGGCCTCCAAGGAATGCAGCTGCTCCTGCTGCCGCAGCACCTTCCTAAACAGCTCCTCCTTGGAGGGTTGGACAACCCCACTGCCCTCCAAGTCCATCCCTTCCCACGCTTGGTGCCTCCAGCGGCTGACGGCAAATGGGTCGCTGGAACCTGCAGGACCCAAGTTGAAGGTCATGGATTTTTTCGGCTCCCGGGAACGGGGTGCATCCGTGCTGGTGGGCCTGGGCTTGATGGGCAAGCTGGCCCGGATGAACGTCCTCTCAGGGGCTTGGGGAGCACCCTCTGAGGAGGGCCGCTCAGCCACGCTGGGGCCTGTCCGCCGCAGGACGAACTGCACATCGTTGGCATACTGCCCACACTTGGCCAGTGACTCCAAGGGGCACTCCAGTGGTAGCAGCTGCCGCTCCTTCTCCCGCAGCTTCTGCACCAGCACATAGCGGCCCGTCTGACCTGCCAGGAGGAGGTGAGCACGTCAGATGGGGAAAGCCATGGCCAGCAGTGGTGTGCTGAGGCTGCTGCCCCACGGGCAGTGGCTGGTGACATCCCCACCACCCCAGAGTAGGACCCCCAGCCACCCAAGGTCTCCTTTTCCCAGGAAGCACCTGCAGATGGGGCATCCCCTCAGCAGATGCCTGCACCTGCAAAGGGGCATCCCCCCAGCAGATGGAGATGGCTCACCAATGGCCCGCGCCAAGGCGATGACCACTTCTTGGCAGGTGGTTTGCTCCGAGACACCGCAGACAACCCTCTGGATTCCGTCCACCCAGACCTTCAGCTCCATCCCCACAGCTGCCAGGCCTCAGGCACGCTGGGTCATCGCAGGACGGGCTGCCTGTGGGTAGAACAGAAACAAGATTCCCATCCCAAACCGCTAACAAGGAATACGAGATGCTTTAAGAGTGGCGTCATTAAATCCTCTTTAACGCTACCATCCCTTAAGGTGCATCCTAGACCAAGCAGTTGCTCACTGCCACCCTCCATCCACCTCTGCGGCTCTCCCTGTGCACGGATTGCATTTTTGTTGATATTATTAAAACACTGATGTTCATCTGCAAAAAAACCAAAACCACTGTTTTTTTTGGCGCTCATGTCTGGGCAGCAGGTCCAAATCTTCCCGTGGTGGGAGATGATGGGGTTTGTGTGCCTGCAAGGTACCCAGAAGAAGATGCCCAGGTTATTTCTGCTGCAAGTGCAGACTTTTAATGGGTTTGCTGGACTTTCACTGCAATTTCTCTGACGATTTGGCAGTGCGGCACTGGGGGATTTTCCAAACAATATTGGAAAAGGCGGAGAAACTGCCAGCTGCCCACCCTCGCAACGGGATATTGAGAGAAGGTGCAGATAATGCACATTTTAATCTATTTACCTCCATCTCAATTTATCAGAGGGATTAAGAAATTAAAATAAAGCCTCTTTCTCCACAAAAACATGACCAAAGGTGGGGTTTGGGAGAGGGAGCCAGGCACAAATGCCCGTGACGAAGCCCGGGCTCCCAGGGGATGCTCTGCCCAACAGCGGGGCCCAGCCTCACATAGCGGCCCGTCTGCCCTGCCAGGAGGAGGTGAGCACGTCAGATGGGGAAAGCCATGGCCAGCAGTGGTGTGCTGAGGCTGCTGCCCCACGGGCAGTGGCTGGTGACATCCCCACCACCCCAGAGTAGGACCCCCAGCCACCCAAGGTCTCCTTTTCCCAGGAAGCACCTGCAGATGGGGCATCCCCTCAGCAGATGCCTGCACCTGCAAAGGGGCATCCCCCCAGCAGATGGAGATGGCTCACCAATGGCCCGCGCCAAGGCGATGACCACTTCTTGGCAGGTGGTTTGCTCCGAGACACCGCAGACAACCCTCTGGATTCCGTCCACCCAGACCTTCAGCTCCATCCCCACAGCTGCCAGGCCTCAGGCACGCTGGGTCATCGCAGGACGGGCTGCCTGTGGGTAGAACAGAAACAAGATTCCCATCCCAAACCGCTAACAAGGAATACGAGATGCTTTAAGAGTGGCGTCATTAAATCCTCTTTAACGCTACCATCCCTTAAGGTGCATCCTAGACCAAGCAGTTGCTCACTGCCACCCTCCATCCACCTCTGCGGCTCTCCCTGTGCACGGATTGCATTTTTGTTGATATTATTAAAACACTGATGTTCATCTGCAAAAAAACCAAAACCACTGTTTTTTTTGGCGCTCATGTCTGGGCAGCAGGTCCAAATCTTCCCGTGGTGGGAGATGATGGGGTTTGTGTGCCTGCAAGGTACCCAGAAGAAGATGCCCAGGTTATTTCTGCTGCAAGTGCAGACTTTTAATGGGTTTGCTGGACTTTCACTGCAATTTCTCTGACGATTTGGCAGTGCGGCACTGGGGGATTTTCCAAACAATATTGGAAAAGGCGGAGAAACTGCCAGCTGCCCACCCTCGCAACGGGATATTGAGAGAAGGTGCAGATAATGCACATTTTAATCTATTTACCTCCATCTCAATTTATCAGAGGGATTAAGAAATTAAAATAAAGCCTCTTTCTCCACAAAAACATGACCAAAGGTGGGGTTTGGGAGAGGGAGCCAGGCACAAATGCCCATGACGAAGCCCGGGCTCCCAGGGGATGCTCTGCCCAACAGCGGGGCCCAGCCTGACTCCCACCCAGCAGTTACTTCTCCTGCATTAAAATAACACATTAGCCCAGGTGCACCCAACTCCTGCCTCTTCCAGCAGCTCAACAACTGCAATAATCTTTAAAAAAAAAAAAATTAAGCACCAGCTGTAAAGAACTCAAATATTTGAGCTTATGGTGTTTTCAAACACCGTGCCAATAAAGATGTATCTTTTTTCCCCTATAACACTGTTTTTTTCTAGCATCAGGCTTGTCTGAAAGCCCTGGGCAGAGGAACATATATAGGAAGTTTCCAGGCTCTCTGACCTGAGGGTCCCAAACTGCTTTCCCAGGCTAACGCCACTGGTTGCAGCCTCTCCACCCCTCAGCTCCAGCTCTCCCGACTTTGCAGCTGGGCTGTGAGAAAGCTTGACCTCGGGTTAAACACCACTTCTTGCTTATTTTTTGTTGCCTTGCTTATTTTTTGTTGCCTGTTTGAGTAATCAAAGGGAGGGCTCAAAGGGTCCCGCCTCTGGTGATGAGGGATTTTAGCCATGGTGCGAGAAAGGCAAGGAGAAACCGGGGAAGATACGGCTTGGTAAGGCCATTCCCCACGGGTGCTGGGTCCTGTTGGTGCCACCCCCTACCCACCTCCGAAACGTGGGCATGGAGCGGCTGCTGCAAATACCTCGGCGCTGAGCTCATGTTTGCCTTGGCTGGGCAGCCGGGGAAAACCGGTGGGGCTAAAGGGCACCTTGGGCTCGGCCGACCTCCCTGTGAGCCCAAAACCACTAAAATTTGCAAGGTTTAGCCTAATTCCATTTCAAAGCTGGTTTTGGCACCGCTCCCCCACCCTGTGCGTTCAAGGCTGCAACTGGCCCCCGGCATGGAGCAAAGTCCAGGCACCGCTGCGGCACTACCCAGCTCACCCCAAAGCCACCGTCCCCCCCCTGCCGCAGCACCCTAACGCCAAATTTGGGTGGCAACGCATCCCAGGGAGCATCACCCCCACCCTGGCCAGGGACCCGGCTATCACCGAACCCAGCTTCTCCTGCCCTGACCCTGTGGGGAGGCCAGGAGCCTAAAATTAAGTAAGAAAAAATAATCCAGCTGGTTGAGTCGCGTCGCACAGCCTCACCTCGCCCAAAAAATTCAGCGGTTGCCAAACGCTGCCAGGTACAGAAGCAGGACGGCCACCAGCACACCAGTCCCAGGCACCTGTTTGGGTTCAAACCCGGCACCAACCTCCGGCTCCGCCTTGGCCGGCCGCCCCGGCAATCATTTACCAGCAGCCAGTGCGCGGCACACCACCGCCAAAAAGCTGGGAGTGGCGGCAGCCAGCTTTTCTCCCGACACAGGGGAAATCCCCCCCAAAAGCAACCGGCACATCCCTCCCCGTTGCATCTCTCTGCTGCATGCCCCAGCACTCCAAAATCCAATTGTTTTTACTATTATTTCCTTATATCCTTGCAAGCACAGGGGGTCCCCGTTAACTGATTGCTTGCCGTAACCCCTGGGGTTTTTGGGGGTCGCTGTCCCCAGCTCGCTGCCTGATACTGGATGTTATCTGCCCCCTTGCAAGGGGGTGGTAAATAGGGCTGGGGGCTGCTCCCTCCTCTGCCTGCCCTCCTCACGCCTTCCCAGGGCAGGATCAGCTCCCCCAGCCCACCCAAAACCAGCCTGGCTGCCCCTCTTCCCCCAAAGCCCTGGGCTCATGGAGGAGCTGACGGGATGAAGGCAGCTCATCCTCATTTGGGGGGACCAGTGATGCTCCTCGCACCCCCCCAGTCCCTGCTTGGGGCAGCGAGGGGGGGTAGGGGTGGAGAGGGCAGAAATCACAACCCACACACAGCATCTTGTCCCCAATATCCCACCACACCATCATCACCCTGGTTAAAAAAAAACAAACCCAAACCACACCCTAAAAGCCAACAGGCCATAAACCCCAAAACCTCCACCTCGCCCCCAGCATCACCTCCACTGTAGCCCCTGCCAGCTCTTTACCATCACTCCTAAAAAAATCAGCAGCTGGGGGGGAAGTCTCCTTGCTCCACTTGCCAATGATGAACCCCTCTCCCCAAGCTTCGCTGCCGACCCCCTGCTTTAATTGGTGGGTGCCTTCATTACACCACCAGGTAGCGAAAACGGCTTTTTTTTTGGGTGAGAATCACTTTTCTTGGGGAAGAAGCACTTCTCAGCAGGAGGCCGGTTTCCAGCTGCCTCTGTTTGTATTCGCCCTAGCAGGTCACTTTGGTCATGAACCAGAAGTGCAGGCAGCTGCCAGGCCCTGCCGGCTGCCTCAAAAACAGCAGAGAAGTGAGCAGGTGGCTACGGGCCCCAGGACGCATGACGGCCGCTCCCAAAAGCCGCTTTCATTTTATTCTTACTCCCCTCCCCCCCATGGATTTCTAAATCATTTTTATTGAAAGCAGATTAACAAAGTGACTAATTTTCTGCTCCTTTCCCCATGCGATGGGTCCTAAAATTGAGGGTAGGGATGATTCATACCACAACTTCAACAAATTTCATAACTGGGAGTTGGAATTTCAAATGCTGACACTAAAAAAAAAATTAAAAAAAATTAACAATCTCAGATCTTGCAGCTTTATTTTCTTTCTTGGCGGTGCTGTCTCCCAGCCTCCCCGAGGTTGTTGGGCTAAAGGAAGAGGAGATGAAGGAGCGTTTCTGCATGTGCAGGAGGATGCACATTTTGTGCAGCTCCTGCAAACCGCCATCCTGATGGCTGCCGGGACTCGCAAACGTTCTGTGGTCTCCCTGGACCTGAAATAATACATGGCCAGCCAACAAAATTGGCCAGTCACCCTCCTTACAGAAGTGATGTGCAGGGACTGCCCCCTCCCCCCCCCCCCCCCCCCCGTGCCCTCCACAGGGACTCTCAGCACCTTCCAGCCAAGGATTGCAAACACTTTGCAAGTGCCTTTCTCCCACATTTTGCCACAAAGAAAAAAAAATATCTGGTTAGGAAAAACAACACCAATCTGGCACCCAACAACAAGGCTAGCTGCAACCCAAGTCCCAAAGCATGCCAAATACCTCTCAGCTGCATCCTAAACACCAGAGCTCCTAACAAACACCATCTGGGACCAGCATGAAGGTTTTGAGCCGAGCATCCCGCCAGCACCAAGGTTTCACCCATTTTTGGGGGTTCACTCTCCTCTCTCACTATGTCTACCCC